GAGTCTGAGTCTGAGTCTGAGTCTGAGTCTGAGTCTGAGTCTGAGTCTGAGTCTGAGTCTGAGTCTGAGTCTGAGTCTGAGTCTGAGTCTGAGTCTGAGTCTGAGTCTGAGTCTCTGAGTCTGAGTCTGAGTGGGAGTGGGAGTGGGAGTGGGAGTGGGAGTGGGAGTGGGAGTGGGAGTGGGAGTGGGAGTGGGAGTGGGAGTAGGAGTGGGAGTGGGAGTGGGAGTGGGAGTGGGAGTGGGAGTGGGAGTGGGAGTGGGAGTGGGAGTGGGAGCGGGAGCGGGAGTGAGAGTGAGAGTGAGTGTGAGTGTGAGTGTGAGTGTGAGTGTGAGTGTGAGTGTGAGTGTGTGTGTGTGTGAGTGTGAGTGTGAGTGTGAGTGTGAGTGTGAGTGTGAGTGAGTGTGTGTGTGTGTACGTGTGTAAGTGTGTAAGTGTGTAAGTGTAAGTGTGTAAGTGTAAGTGTGTAAGTGTAAGTGTGAGTGTGTGTAAGTGTGTGTAAATGTGTGTAAGTGTGTGTGTGTGTGTCTGTGTGTCTGTGTGTCTGTCTGTGTGTCTGTCTGTGTGTCTGTCTGTGTGTCTGTCTTTGTGTGTGTCTGTCTTTGTGTGTGTCTGTGTGTGTGTGTGTGTCTGTGTGTGTGTCTGTGTGTGTGTCTCATGCTTCCTCCAAGCTCCGCCTGTAGCGGGGCGTGCCCGGCCTAGAACTGGCCCTCCCCCGAGAGGAGGGCGCGCCTCCCGATGCCTGGGGCGACTCGCAGGAGTGGGCGATGCTGCCGTCGCCCCGTGCGCCGCCGCCGCGGTCGTGATCTGACGTTGCGCTCTGCGTCGTGGCGCGGTGGGGCGTGGGGTGCTGTTTCGAGCAGTGGCGAGGCGTTCTGGCTTGCCTACGGGCCCACCAGAGAATGTCCTGAGAGCCTCTTGTGGTTTGCACGAAGTGTTCTTAGAACATGTCTGGCGGAGGCGGTCTCATTTCAACACGTTTGGTTCATGTTCTAAGGAAATTGTCTTCGCGGTAAGAACATGATTGGGTTCTAAGACAGTTTCGCTGTAGGCCTATAGGAATGCCGGGACGGTCGGCCCTGCTAATTTGTTGGTTATTCCGTCGATGGATGATGTTTGTCGTGTCGTGGCTCACATCGCTGCAACATAGGCCAGGGTACCTGTTTCGTTGAGAATCACCTAGCTTGTTGAAAAACAACCATCCAGATGACTCACAGGGTCTAGGTCGGCGTCGAGGGACCCCTTTTCTGTTCCTTGTGTTGCCAGTCCTTTGTCAAGAGGGCTCGACTGGATTGTCTTAGCAGTCCATGCGGGCCTACTTCGATTGGGAATTGTATGATATCGCTGCCCTTATGTGGGGCCCTTCAGTCAGCAGCGTGCGAGAAGCCTGCTGGTCTTCTAGGTTCTCCCTGCCAGTTTCCCAAGCGGTTCTCTGGATTTCCTGAATTCCGCTTCACCGCCGAGCAAGATAGATCAGGGCAGTCAAGCTGGACGAGGATGAGCAAGACGAGCTATTTGTGCAATATAGCCCTGACCCCCCCCTTGGCCGCTCCTCGCTGCGCAGGAGACGGAGCCCGGAGACCTGCCGATGCTGAGCGCGGCCGAGGAGGTGTCCTGGCCGCCGCCGCCCTCGTGGAGGAGGATGAGATATCATGGGAAGAAGTACTTCAGCGAGGGATGGCCTGGATGGCCGGAGTGCTGGCCGGGGGTGGAATTATCCGAGCACGGAGAGGAGTGGGGTTCACTGGAGGTTGGGTCACGGGAGCCCGCGGCGGTCCTCGACGTTGGTGTCGTTTGTCGTCCTATGTCCCCGCTCCTCGATCTCTTCTCAGCAATGCCCACCACGCTTTTGAGCTAATCTCAATAGGTGTCAAGATGTCGCCCAAGCTTGTCCGATGTGCGTCTTGCAAGTAGTTTGGGATGGTCGGGTCCCCAAAGGGGGTCGGTAATTATCCGCGCATTGTCGAGGCTCTTCAGGGATGCAGAATGTCCCGAACGGCCTTCTGTGGCCCCATGCACGTTCGCAGAGCCCCGAGTGCGCAGCGAGGGCCACGCGATGCCGGTGGGGTAGCGCAGCGCAGGGAGAAAGGCAACGCAAGAGGCGGATGTGTCGACTGGCGGTGACCCCGCCGCGGGCGTTCAAGGTTGAACGCCGCCAGTGGCCCAGAATCGGCTTAATTACATGGAACGATCGGGCGATCGGCAAGCTGCCGATGGTTCAAGGTTGAGCGATCGACGCGGTGTCAGAAACCAACGCCAGGGTCGTCACGACATGAACCTGCCGTACCCAGCTGCCTGCTGCAGGTCCCGCCACAGGCGCGAGTGCGTGGCGACGCTTCGAGCACGGAAATTCGTGACGTAGGGGATCGCATAGGGGGCCGCTTTGGGCCCTTTCCGGCCGTCTGGGGAGTCTGCAGGGCGGCACCACGCGCGCGCGTGGGGTGCGCGTGTGTTTCGCCATACTCCCCTCCCCCCCCCCGCCCGCCCGCCCGCCCGCCCCCCCGCACCCTTTGTCGTGTTGTCCCTCTTCGTCGTTTTCCTCCCTCTCTTGCCACAGAGCTCCTCTCGGCTGGTTAAAAAAGTGGGGCCGTCTCTGGTTCTTGGCTTCTCATAGCCCTCCTGGAACCGAGAGGCCCAAAGAGCTCAAAGTGTGAAAACACCTGCGGATGCCCGAACGCTATTGAGCGGTGTTGTCCTCGCTGGAGGGCCTCCTGGCCTTCGCTTTGATGTCTTTCGGGTTGGCCCAAAAGGGGGTCCAGCGACAAGGGGGTGGTGGTGCAATATATTTGGGGCTATAGATTTGTGGGTTTGCAATAGACTTGGGGCGTGCAAGACGTTCTGGTGCGCAAATGTATTGCTGGGCTTTCGCGTGCAATACATTCGCTTCATAATGCAACAGAATTCTTCGGGGCAATACGTTTGCAACACAATTGCCCCAAATCTATTGCACCACACCCTTTCAGTTGGACCCCCTTGTGGGTCACCGAAGTCTTGTAGGCCTCTTGTGCCACCTTCAGACCCTTCCGCGCCTCTTGCGGTTTGCGGTTTTGTTGATTGGTGCCTCTTCTAGCCATCCTGGAGACCTTGGTGGCCTTCCTGGGCCGTACGTTTCTGGTGACGTGCGTCGAGAGGGGGGGGGCGTTAGAAGATTACAGAAGCCCGATGTGACAGCGTTGGGCATTCTACAGCATTTCAACGTGCCAGAGGGCACCGTGGCGGATTAAGGATGATACGCAGAGACATACGTGTTGATTAATGATCGTTAGTCAGGTTATTTGTGTAATGAGTCGGGTGTGTGCGATCGAGCGTTAAAGTACGATTTGCCGATGTTCGAAACCATGTACGCGTGTCCCGTGTATGCGCGAGTTGCATCGACGACCAATGGTGTACGATAGTGGTGCCAATAGTGTATGTTACGGATGCATAGTATTGATGTGTGTGTTGTCGAAGACGCACACGGCGGATCACCGCCGTTCCTTGCCTTTTTGAAGCTCCTATGCCGCCCAACGTTGTGGCCAGAGCTCGCCCACGCTATCAGACTGTGTGTCCCCCCGGTCGTTGTGGGAATCCTTCGGGAACACTTGGGGGAGGAAGAAGAGGACGAGGGAGGAGCAAGGAGGAGACGGAGGAGAAGGAGGAGACGGAGGATTCTTGGGAGCTCTTGGGGCACTCTCGGGCATCCCGGGGGGCTCTTGGGGGCCACATTGGAGGCCTCCTTTGGCCTCTAGGGGGCCTTTGGAGGCCCCTTGGGTGGCCTCGTTGGCCGTCTGAGGGCGACCCTGGCCCGTCGGCAGCCGTCTTGCGGGCCTCTCTGGGCCGATTTGGGGCATTCTTGGGACGCTTCGGGGCAGTCTTAGAAGTCTCGTGGTCGTGTGAGAGCCTTCTTTCTTGGCTCCGCCTTGGAGAGCCCCTTTGGGCGATCTTTGGGGCCTCTTGAGCCGCCCTGGGCAGTCGGAAAACCGAAACGGAGCGAGTACACAAACCTTTCAAATACCAAAGGACAATCACTGCGGTTGGCGCCTTGGGGCCTTCTGGAGGAGTTCTTGGAGGCTTCTTGGGGCCTACTGTCCTTTCTTGGGCAATATTGAGGCCATCTTAGGTCTTCGTGGGTGCATCTAGGAGCAAATACCACAACCCCTCAACCACCTAAGGAGCATGAATGACTCTTGCTTCTTCGGGCCTTCCTGGAGGGCCTTCTCCATGCCTCCTGGGCGGTCTTCGACGCCTCTAGGGCTGTAGTGGGCCATCTTGAGGCCATCTTGGATCGCCTTGACTACATGTTAGGCAGTAGTTGAAACATGTTGGTGCCATCGTGGGCTCTCTTTGAGTTATCTTGGCCGTCTTGGAGGCTATCCTGGCAGTCTTAGAGGCCTCTCCGGCTGTGTTCGGGCCCTTTTGGTGTTGTTTTTGGGGCCTCTGGGGCCATCATGGGGTCATCTTGCAGGCCTGTTGGCGGATCGTGGTGGCCTCTTGGGTAGTCGTAAGCCGAAAAGGGGCAAACGCCAACTCTTCAACACCTGAGAAAAATTGATGGCTTGGGCTGCTTCGGGCCTGCCTGCGGAGGCTCTTGGGCCGTTTTGGGAGCCTCGGGGGCATCTGGGGCCGTCAGGCAATCTGATGCCGTCTCTGGTGCATTTTGGAGGCGTCTTGGAAACATCTTGTCGGCATGTTGGGCGCTCTTGGGGCCACCTTGGCCATTTGGGAGCAATAGTGGAGGCCGTCTTGGCCATCGTGGAGGCGATTTGGGCAATGGGACACGCATTTCCAGCGGCGTTGTGGATCTTTCCCGGTGGTCGGCGAAATCGGCCAAAGGCCCTTTTGGGAACATGTCAACAGTACCAACAGTTGCCTAAAGTTTGGGACGCCGTGCACCCTTGTGGCAAGACCACTGCGGAGCGGCGGATCTAAGACGCCTACGGCGAATTACCGCCGCCCCCTGCTTTGTGGAAGCGCCTATGTGGCCGAGCGTTGCGGCCAGAGCTCGGAGAAGCTATCGGACTATGCGTTCCCCCAGCCGTTCTGAAAACCCTTCCTGTAACAGTTAGGGGAGAAAGAACAAGAGGATGAGAGAAAGGAAAAGGGAGGAGGAGGAGGCGGAGGAGGAGGATGCCTCCAAGCAGCCTCTTGGGCCACTCTTGGGGCCTCCTGGGAGCTTCCTGGGGGCCTCTGGGAGGCCTCCTGGGGGCCTTTGGAGGCTCCTCGAGGGGTTCTTTGGCCGTCTGCGTGAGTTCCTGGCCCGTCGGAAGCCGTCTTGGGGGCCTCTCTGGGCGGTCTTGGGGACCTCGTGGGGCGCCTCACGGCCGTGTTTGGGATCATCTTGGGCTTCTTGGAGGTCTCCCTAACGGTCTTGGGGCCCTCTCAGGGCCGTCTTGGGGGGGAGGGCCCTCGGGCCGTCGGACAGCCAAAGATGAGCAGACACCATAATCCTTCAAGGACCTAAGGAGCATCAATGATGTTGGCCTCGTCGGGCCTTCTGGAGGTACTCTTGGGCTGTCTTGGAGGCCACGTGGGACGTCTTGGGCCGTCTTGGGGACATCTCGGCCCGTATTGGAGTCAACTTGGGGCCATCTTGGGCCCTCTTGATGCCATCGTGACCGTCTTGGAGACCATCTTGCGGCCGTCTGGAGCAGGAAGACCGACGACCTGGGAATTCTACGGGTTTCCAGGTGGCCGGCGGGATCGCCCGAAGGCCCGCTAGAAATTAAAACAAGAACAAACACATATTGAACGTCTGGCACGCCGTGCACCCCTGTGGCAAGCCACATGGGACAGCGGATGACGGAAAGCGCTCGTAGCGTCGCGATCCGCTAGTCGGGAGAAAAACGAGGGGGGATGTGTGTGGGGGGGGGGCGGGGCAAACCCAGGATCGGATGACGGAAAGCGCGCGAAGAGTCGCGATCCGTTGGTATAATTGGGGTGGGGGTGGGGCGGGTAGGCAGGCCGATCTCCAGATGACGGAAAGCGTGCGCAGCGTCGCGATCCGTCAGTCGGGAGAAATAGCTGCGGGGGGGGCTAGGCAGCCAGACCTCCGGATCGAATGGCCCAAATTTCCACCCTTTTCGGCCTAAGACGGCCCAAGTCAGCCCCAAGAGCGCCTAAGAGCCCCCCAAGACGGCCCAAGACAGCCCCAAAAGCGCCCGAGACGGCCTCGGAGAGGTCCAAGAGGGCCCAAGATGACTGCAAGACAGCCCACGAGGTCCCCAGGACGCCCCAAGAGGCTCCCAAAGGGGACCTCCAAGATGCAACAATCGTCCCATTCCCATCGGAAAACATGCATGTTTATCATACTCGTTTCTTCGGTTTTCACAGCGTCCATGACGACCCAGGAGGCCCCCAAGACCCCAGAGGCTCCCAACACGGCCCATGTGGGCGTCAAGACGGCCCAAGAGAGCACCAAGACGGGCCAGTCAGGGTCACAAATGGTTCCCAAGAGAGCCCCAAGAGGACCACAGGAGGTCCCCATGGGGACCCAGGAGGGTCCCCAGAGGGCCCCCAGACGGCCCAAGCTCGCCAAGACGACCCAAGAGGGTCCTGGGACGGCCCCAAGACGGCCCAAAAGAGCCCCAAAAGAACCCCCAGGAAGGGCCAGATTTGGAACATGTATTGATTTTCGCAAGGTTGATTGCTAGATTTTTTGTATATCGCACGGAAGCCAAAACGCCAACAGGGCTCCAAGACACCAAGCCAGCGACCTCGCGCCCTCACAAAGTAAACGTGTTTTTCCGTCCCTATGCCAACCAGGTGACGGAACGAGCGGTGCGTTATTTGGTGGGGCGAAGCCCTCAAGGGAGGGGTTCCAGGGGAGGGGCGGGGCGCGCGAAGAAATAACGGAGAGAGCGAGGTACGAATGATGACGTTCTTGAGTGGGGCGAAGCTCTCTTAGGGAGGGGTTCCAGGGGAGGGGCGCAGGTGGCACACATACGTCTAATGGCCGCCGGGGGCAGTTTCCACTGCATTTTTCGAGTACCGGAAAGAGCGAGGTACGAGTGATGACGTTCTGGTGGAGCGAAGCCCTCTAGGGAGGGGTCCAGGGAAGGTTCCAGGGGGGGACGCCCTGGTGCTGATGGCCGCTGGGGGGCCGTTTCCCTTGTATTTGTTCGAGTGAAGCGGCTCGCGGGCGCCTTCCACGGCCAGGTTCGTTGCATTGTTTTGTGAAGCGGCTCTGGGGCCCTAAGACGGCCCAAGAGGGCACCAACACGGCCCCAGAGGGCCCCAAGACGGTCCCAAGAGGGCTTCAGGTGGCCTCCAGGCGGTCCAAGAGAGCTTCGAGACGGCTTCAGGAGCCCTCAAGAGGGGCGGGGCGACGAGGGCGGCCTTCTGTGAGGCCGATCCGTGAGCACCGATCCTGGGCTGAGAATGCGATTGGCCAGCCTCGGTGTACACTGAGCGGCTTGAATAAGGAACTTTTCTTTTTCAAAAGGGGCTCCGTCATTCCTTCGGTTTGCATGCGTTCTGCTACCTTTTTGGCGCTAGAAGGGAGCTCGGCCGTTCCTTCGGACTTC